CAATGAATCGGAGACGATGCATCGGCGTGCACTAGAGGGGTGCGAGAAGATTCTTGGACCAGACCACCCAAACACCCTAACAATTGTTAGCAACATGGCTTCCATTCTCCAAGACCAAGGAAAGCACAATGAATCGGAGACGATGAATCGGCGTGCACTAGAGGAGCGCCAGAAGTTTCTTGGACCGGACCACCCAGAAACCCTAATAAGTGTCAGAAACCTGGCTCATGTGCTGGAATGCCAAGGAAAGTACGATGAATCAGGGGCGATGCAGCGGCATGCACAGGTGGGACAAGAGAAGATTCTCGGACCCAATCATCCCGAGACCCGATCAATCGCCAACAACCTGGCTTCTGTGCTGCGATTCTGAGGAGAGCGTGGCAATTCAGAGACAATCAGGCGATCTCCACCGCGGGCGCTTCCTGGAAATCCGGCCAATACGGGACAGTCTTCCGCCACCCCCACCCTCCGCCGTTCACGGAGCAGGGCGGTTCTTGGCAAGCGCAAGAGGTGCTCGAAGTGATTCACCATACTGCAGCCAGTTTGTCTGCCCTAGACGCGACAGGAGCTGGGTACTCGTTTATACCGGTGCGGGAGACCGCAGGAAATTAAGGGGGGGCGATGGCAGACCTCCAGGGGAGTAACAAGAATGACGAACTAGATAGAGGCTATGGGGCGCATTGTTGAGGTCTAGCACAGAGAAAGTGTTGTTCATTTTTACCTTCTCTTTGTCCTTTCTTTTCTACTGCTTTCATACATTGGTTCATGCTTAACCACGCGATAAGTTCTTGTCAATTCATTTCGACCTGGAATCGCGAGATGTCACTCGCTTTTTCCCATTCCACCCGGTATCATATCTTAAACGCCACAATGCAGAGTTACCCACCAGCCCTAGCCCTATACCTCGCCTGCCCCTTAGGCCCAATGTTGCCCTACATTCTAAGGCTGCGTTTGGCTCGTCAGGATTAGACTAGGATTTGGACTTTAAGTCCAGACTTAAAATCCTAATTCTAGTCTAACCTGCAAAGTCTGGACTTTAAATTCTAGATTTACAAAAATACAAGATTTAGATTTAAACTTTTATTAATTAATAACCCATTTTATACCTTATAAAAAAATTCACAATTAGAAATATTATAAGTAAGGAGCTATTTATATTTGAGTTTACCCCACTATTCACTTTATCAGGATATTTCTGTATGACAGCTTAATGAACAATATCCAACATTTCACTTTTACCTTTACCTGTTTTTATTTTTTTTCTCCAATTATATCATAATAAACCTTTATCAATTCATGAAAGTTTAAAACAAGTTATAATAGTAGAAGACCAGTGGTAGAATATTGCTGCTATTAGCACCACCCTTGGTACTTGAGGGAATAAGCAAAAATAGCTGGGAGGTAAAACAGGTCACAGTCTGTAGAAAAGTTTATAGTTTTGGTGTATATAGAATCTGATTATAAAAATGGAAAAACTGTCATGTCATGGTATGAACTATTTACTGAAGCAGAAAAGGTACACTATATAGGATGTGGTTGCTTTAGGGTAAAATTTATATGACACAGTTCTTAAAAGTCCAGACTTTGAATCCTAATCTAATACTGAGGTGCAAATCCTAGTCTAATCCTGGCGAGCCAAACACAGCCTAAGACATCATTAGAACTTGGAGTACATCTGCCTCATCTGATGCCATATCCTCGCTTTTATCGGATAGACAATGAATCACTATGATACTGCCCACGTTTAGCCTGCACTGCTGCTGAATTCCCTCATTACGGACACTACCGACCACCCCAAAACCCTAACGAATGTCCGCAACCCGGCCAAGCTGCAGCGATACCAATGACCGTACAATAAGTCAGAAATAGTGGGTTGTGTGTAGTATTGCAAAGCATCAGAACTCAATTCTCCTCTACAATCACACAGGTCTGGATTACCCCTCCGGAAGTTACTAGTTGTTCGTTTTTCTTTTTTTCTTTCTTATTTGCGTGATGGCAGATTCAGGACATATATACCGGTGAATACGAAGCAGCTGATTACCTTGTGGAAAGGGAGTGGAAGAAAGGGTGGAAGTCCGGAAGTCAGAGGCCGTGAGGAGAAGGAAAGGTATTGGAAAAGCATAAGAAGTAGCGAGGAGCAGCAGAAAGAGCAGCAAAGGAAAAAGAAGGAAAATAGGACAAGACAAGGGAAGGGAAGCTGAAGGAATCGGGAATGCAGAAACTTATCTGACTTGTTTATATGTGGCCATCCATTTGCCCATGGGTGAAGCTGCCAGAAGTGGGAGCAACAAGAGATCAGAAGTCGGGGTGTAATTTTTAGACCCGCGAGTGTATGCAGGATGGAGTGGACGGTCCGCCCTAATTCTACAACATTGGTGAAATGGGCAGCATTAGAATCACCGTTTCCTGTTACCCGCTCTCCACTTCAACTGGTAAGCGTAGTTCCTGCTTGTAATGACTGCAGCTAGCACCGGAATACATGTGTAAAAGTGTACGAGGTTTTCAACTTAGCCGATTCGACTGGCTGTCAAAGCAGTGTCTTATATATTTGGAATGAGGAAAAGGAAATGGCGAAACCCGGAGGTGTTATTCATCTGGGCCGAAGGAACCAAAGGTTAAGTATAAGGTCCCATGTGAAAGGTGCGAGGTCCCGGAGTCTGTGGAATGAGGCATCTCATCTACTATTCCAGGAAGTAGTTGATAGCGGACGGAAATGAGGAGGGGAAAAGAAAACTCAGATGATTACTCGTTAGTGAATAAAAACAGGAGGGAACAGGGCTTCAATAGTTACATGTCGGTGTTATTGGTCTATGAATTAACCAGTGTTGCACAAATCCCTCTGCCGGCTACAAGACTCAAGAGTTGTGTAGTGATGCCTGTGAGAAGAATTCAGTTCTTTCTTTTTGATTTCAATATCACCCCCAGGGGGGTGTATCAGATCTTTTAAAATACAGTCGCATTGCGCAATAACGAATGTCACCAGTGCAGGATTTTTTGTATAGGGAGACCCATTTATACAAGGGCAGGGGGGTAAGTCTCGCACCTTGAAGAGTTCGTTCATATGGTTTGTGCACTCCAAAACATGTACCAGACTAAAATTAAGTGTTACATGGCTTTGTGGCTTATAATGCCAAGCATTTAGGGCAAATATCTAAATATCCCACACCATGGTTACAATATCAGGGTCTTAGTCCAGATATATATATTAAGAGAAGAATAATTACAGGAAATAAATAACTGGTTACAAATAGTAAATAATTGATTAATCAACCTCTACTGCTTCAGAAACACAACATTGACTTTCATATTTGTGCTTCACTGCTGTAAAAAAGTCCATAGTCCGAAAAGGTATTCCCTGCCGGTATGCATCTATAATTCTCTCTACCCTTTTAGCAAATTTCCAAATTAGTGTATTAGTAACAGAATCCAAAGCCTCTGGAATCAGCTTGCAGAGTGCTTTGATTGTATATCCACTATTATTCCTGGTATACCTCTTTGCAGCTACCCAAACATATTCGATAAAATTTATCTCACAATGAAAGTTGGGATAAAATGAAACGAACTGATTAAATTTTTCCAACTTCCTCTTGAAGTTGGGGTTTTTGGTTGTGAGAATCTTGCTGCATCAGCAAAAATAAAAGCTTGCGTCCTATGCGTCCTATGCGTCTAACGCACAGGACGTGCAGAACACAAACCGTTAATCGGGATGCAAGACAGCAGCTACCAAATCTCAGGATGCAACGGTCCTGGGGGCAAAACTCAGGACGCAACCAGGACACAACCAAGTCTTGGTGCCAGAACTCAGGACGCAACCAGGAGGCAACCGAGCCTTGGTATCAGAACTCAGGACCCAGCGAGAATGCAAGTGAGCCCTACTGTAATTTACAGGATGCAATACAAGAATTAGACCTTGTGACCCAGGTCATATTTAGATTCTGAAACGTTCCAAATACATAGTATTTCTCATTATATTCAAGTCAGTTCTATAATACATGGTATAGACAGAAACCACCCCCCACCTAACCCTTTACCATAAATGCAGCAGGAACCACTTACCTCAGCGGTGATAACTGTACCAATATTGGTGCCGGGTAGATGTCTAGGGTACCATTGGAAAGCTGGCCTCGAGGAGGACCAGGCCGCGGAGTATCAGGCACTGCACCTAAAGGACACCTAGGCAATCTGGCGTCAGAGTCAGCACTTTACCAGAACTCCGCTAGGATAAACACCACTTTCATAACAGGCTGTAGCTCTGTTAAGAATCCTGCCCCATGGGTGAGTAGTGCGACAGGTAATGATTCTCAACTTGAGGTGAGGTAATAGTTCTTAGGCTGTCTGCCTATGCGATATTGATAGTCGAGCCCTTTGACTCCTATCTTATCATGCCTATTCCTCTATTCTCCTTAAGTCCTCGCTTAGGACTTATTTGTTTGATATGGGACAAGAGATAGTTCTCTCGCATGAGAGAAAAGACAGTTCTTGTGTTCTTAAGATAAATGTTTAAAGAGCGTAAATGTAGGTTTTGTTGATAAACTTAAATGTAGGAAATAAACAAGAAGAACATGTTAAGAGCTAATACTAGGGGTTCTACTGACCCTTTATACAGTAGCTCTTTACCTGGCGTGACTCATACCTATGCATCACGCAAACCCCGTGACTCATAACTATGAGTCATGCGAAATCCATCAGCTGACTCCTATGAGTCGCCTCGCAACATACCTAAAACCAATCAAAACATAATAATCAAGTCAGGTGTGCAACTTGCGTCACCTGACTGAAACCCATAACTCATAACTTAAGTCATGTGCGAAAATCATAATATCGTGTGACTCACAACTATGAGTCATGAACAGGTAAAGGTAATAACCTATGGCGCACTAGCGTGCGTCATGTGAAATCTCAACATACCTATAGCTCGGAATCCCGAGCTATGTGAAATCTGCCTTGCTTAGTCACGATTTGTGACAAGCTCTCCCAATATAGGTACCAGCAAGACGCCCAAGGTACCCCTGAAAAGCTGCCGTCACGTAGAACCAGGCTGGTAAGTATCTGGCATTGCATCTAAAGGACACCTGGCTAATCTGACGTCCAGGTCAGCACTTCGCCAGAACTGCGCCAGTGTAAATACTACTTTCATAACAGGTTGTAGCACTCCCAATGTTGGCTCCGGTGAGACGTCTGAGGTACCTCTGGAAAGCTGGCATCGAGCGG